TCATTTTTTTTTTTTTTCTTTTCTTTTCTTATATCCTTTTTATGCCACTTCACAATTCTAACTACGATCTCTTCTCTCCCTGTAATATCCGTATCCTCTTCTTATTCTCTTGTTTCCATCCTGCTCTCCTCTTATTTTTTCCTCTCCCGCCCGTCATGGGCTACCACCCCCCCAGCCCAACCCAAAAACCATCCCCAAAAAAAAACCACCAAAAAAAAAAAACCTACCCCCAAACGCCCCCCGACAACGACGCGGCCGTATAAAACACACCCAATGCGCACGGCCATCTCGCCGCGCGTGTACAGGCCCGACATGTACAGCACGATGCCGGGCAGCAGGCCGCCCTCGGCGAGGCCCAGCAGGGCGCGGACGGCGATGAAGCTGGCGTAGCTGCGCACGAACCCGAGACACATGGTGATGATGCCCCAGAGGATGGTGAGCAGCGGCAGCCAGATGGTGGGGGTGAGCGATTTGAGGATTAAGTTGGAGGGGAGCTCGCTGGTGGGAAGGGGGGGGTGGGGGGGTGGTTAGTTGGGGAGTGTTTTAACCTTTGGTTGGTTTGGGGGGGAAGAGTGGGTAGATGGAGGGGCCAACTAACCTGGCGATGTAGGTCGCGTAAAAGACGGCGAGCCCTTGGTTGTATTGCAGGTTGCTGAGGCCCAGGTCCCTCTCGAGGCCGATGATTCTGGCGTTGCCGACATTGGTGCGGTCGAGGAAGGAGCAGAGGAAGAGGAGGGAGAGGATGGGTAGGATTCTGGGGGTTGGTTTCGTGGAGTGTTAGCCGCTGGATGAGTATGGAGGCTGTTCCGGTAAGTGATTGCATGCTGACCGGGTGTCTGTTTTGAAAAGTATGCGCTTGGTCAAGTGCGCTTCGTTCTGGGCCGTTGTGACCGCCGTGGCCTCGGGACTTGGAACATCGCGGTCGCTTTCCGTCTTTTCATTTTCCCGTCCGGCAATATGGATGGAGGACATGATTATCGACAAGTCACAGCGGCGATTGCAGTTGGGTCGCCGTAAACTCTAGAAAATCACGGGAATCGTAAACTCGGAACTTGGAGGGGTGATAAGCTGGTTGATAAGTCCGATCGATCATGCAAGCCTGCCCCCGGCTTCGTTGGGTGGTGACAAAACCCGGGAGTTGGAGAAGGTTGTACGACCTGCCTACATTAGACCACCGACAGCCACTCCTGCCTTTTGCGCATCTGCATGCCTCACCGCTCGCTGATCGACATGATTATCACGAGCCATCCATTGGAGACGGGTGCGACATGGCGCACCGGACATACCACGGGTGGTATTGTTGGGGAGACTATTGGAGAAATAGTCACTCGATTTGGGGGTTGAATTGAGACTGAAATTGAGTGCGCCACAACTCCAAAGGCATTGAAAACGCATCCTATCAATATCAAAAATAATACAGATGTAATTTGGAAAATGGTGGATAATGGACTAGGAAAGAAGCTTTACCAAGCTTCCTTGGCGGCGTAAATTATTGATTGCCAGATTGGCGCGATTGAGACACGGATCTCGAATGCTGCTTGGGCTGCTGTGTTTCTCACACCGCGGGGTCAGTGCCCCGTTCTGGTTTGCGTTGCATCTCACAGGTCACGAGTCACGGCAGGCACTATCGAAATCGCCCAAATCATGGAACTGCAAGCAACATCTGGTTTTCAGGGTCCCTGCGACCTCCTCCAAAACACCCCATCGCCATCAAACACCACCAAACTACCATCCAGCCATCCTGCATCCCATGCATGTGGCGCCGTCTGGGCATTCCTCGGCCCCGGCCGAACCTTGCATGATGGGGGGAAGCCAGCTGAACAATCACACAATCCGATTGAACCCCAACTTCCACAAAAGCCGAGACCCTTAGCGGCGCGCGTCCCCCCGAATTTATGTTCGTGGTGGGTGCTGGTGGCTCACCCATTCCCGGCACCAAAATCTGGGTTCCGGCCGGCCGCTCTCCTCCTGTGCGTGTGACGTAAACTTGGCGGTGATCGCCGGTTGGCAGAACAAGATGCCGCTGCGCCCGTTACCCGCTGCGCGTGGGTGGGACCCTTGTGGGCGCGGGTCGCATACCGGCTGGGTTGTTGTGGAGGGTTTTGGGGTTTTGGGGACTGTGATACTTCTTTTTTAAAAACACTCCTCGCAAAGTGACGTTGTTTGTTTGGGGAGTTGAAATAGAACCTTTTTTAGTCAGTTCGTGGCTTGGTCGGCACAGTAGAGACAATGGCTGGCGTAGCACGGACAGCGAGGCCAACGACGTCTATGACGATGATGGCGCGGCGTGCGTGCTCCCGGCGTTTGGCGGTGGTTGCTGTTGGCGGCAATCCCATCATAAAGGGCTTCGGCATCAGGGTGGTGCCGGGGATCACTTTGAGCCCGACCCTTTACGGGAGGAGGAGCTTCTCGCACTCCGGGCATTGGAGGTCAGCAGCCATACCTCGGGCCGATAGGGGAGGATCGAAGCTGTGGGAGAGTGCGGCAGATGCGGTGGCCGACATAAGGAGCGGATCCGTTATACTCAGCTCGGGGTTTGGGTTATGCGGTGTCGCGTGTAAGTTGAGAACACCCGGCCTGATATGGTGAATGGAGTTCAACGAGGCTGACTTGAGCAATAGCGACCTTGATCGGGGCGCTTCGAAACCGGGGACCCGAATCCCTTCACTCGCTCACTGCCGTGTCCAACAACGCGGGAGCCGAAGGGCGCGGAGGGCTCGCTCTCCTGACTGAGAACGGGCAGGTGGACCGCATGATCATGTCGTTCCTGGGGCCCAACAAGAAGCTCGAGAAGCAGTACCTCACGGGAAAGATTGCGGTCGAGCTTTGCCCCCAGGGAACACTGGCTGAAAGGATACGGGCGGCGGGGAGCGGCATTCCCGCCTTCTTCACCCCTACGGGCGGGAGTAGGTCACTAAACTCACCAATTCCCCCCTACCGAGGTCATTTCTAACCATGTCCCAGACACACTCGTGCAAGAGGGCGCAATCCCTGCCCGATTCGATGCTAACGGCAACGTGGTTGAGTACGGCAAACCCCGAGAGACGAGGATATTTGACGGACGCCGGTATTTGATGGAGACGGCGCTGCATGGCGACGTGGCCATCCTTCGGGCGTGGAAGGTTGACAAGGCGGGCAACTGTGTGTTCCGGTAGGCGATCCCTTGGTTATTGGGCCTGGCTGTTGTTTCTAACCCCGGCGCAGGTATACCACCAAGGCGTTCGCTCCTCTGATGGCCAAGGCGGCCAAGTTAGCTATTGTGGAAGCCGAGAATATCGTCGAGATCGGCGAGATCGACCCCTAACGATGTCGACCTTCCGGGAATATTCATCGACCGCATCGTGCCGGCCACGGAATCGTCGTTGGTCGAGATTCTGAAGACTCGGTCTACCGGGGAGAGTGGGGAGACCAAGACAAAGGGGGATGCTCAAATCCGGAGAGACCGTATCGCGAGGCGGGCGGCGAAGGAACTCAAGGACGGGTTTTACGTGAACCTTGGAGTTGGTAAGGAGAAGTCTCTCAGGGGTAACGTGCGCAAAGGAAAACGCTGACCAACCCAGGTATCCCCACCATGGCGCCCTCCTTCCTCCCCTCAGGCCAGCAAGTCTGGATCCAGTCCGAGAACGGCATTCTTGGGATGGGCGACTACCCGCTCCCCGAAGACGTTGACCCGTACGTCCACTGCGATCTCCCCCAACCCCAGCCCACATGACCCTTGACTAACCCCTGGCCACACACAGAGACATCATCAACGCCGGCAAAGAGACCACGACGCTCGTCCCGGGCGCGGCCACCTTCGACTCGTCCGAGTCCTTCAGCATGATCCGCGGCGGGCACGTCGACGTGTCCATCCTGGGCGCCCTGCAGGTCAGCGCCGCCGGCGACCTGGCCAACTACATGATCCCCGGCAAGGTGTTCAAGGGCATGGGCGGCGCCATGGATCTTGTATCGAACCCGGACAACACCAAGATCGTCGTCGCAACCGAGCACGTCGCCAAGGATGGCTCGAGCAAAATCGTGCAGACGTGCAGCCTACCTTTGACGGGGGCGCGGGTGGTGAGCACGATTATTACGGATCTGGTGAGTTGTCATAGAGACAAAAGCGTTGGTGTTGTGCTAACAACGGCGTAGTGCGTTTTCGAGGTTGATCGGAAGCGTGGGACGCTGACACTGACGGAGGTTGCGCCGGGGGTGAAAGTAGAGGAGGTCAAGAGCAAGACAGAGGCGGCGTTTACGGTGGCAGAGGATTTGAAGGCTATGGAATGAGCGGTGTTTTATGTTTAAGCTGGTGGCCTGTTCACGAGCGTGTAGAGAGAGAGGGGTTGGTCGGTGCCTTTGCATTTACGTACGCGCTTCGCATATTTACGCATATACCTCGATTATTTACTACATCCATCATCATCAATCCCACGCCGTATGTCACGGCAGCTTTCAAACTCACCCGCACGATCCATCCCTTCTTCTCTCCCCCACACCCAACCTCACAACTTCGCCTTCTCCCCCTCGCCATTCCCCTCCAACTGCAAAAGCCCATAACTCGGCGCAACAAGTCCGAAACGGATAAACGCTACTAAATGGCAAGAAGACCCCAAAAGGATGCGCACGACCCTAGACCCTGGGATGAGAAACCGAAGAAACGGGGCGGCGCGGGGGCGGAGAGGAAGGGAGAGAGGGGACCGAGGAGATGCGAAGTTGTGGTGTGTGCTGTGGGG